ATATAAATTTACTTTTGAAAATGAATACTTACTTTTAGACAGACTAAAATGATAATTTAAACATTTATTATGGAACAGAGAAAGTAACCGTTGATATTAATCAGAAGTATAATCAAAAGAAAGTAGGAAAACAAACCAATGTAGATCATACAATGACACATGCCACCGTACTATTCATCTGCCTTATTACAAAAAAGTATAGTGTAGTGAAAAGTATCACCATATTAATTTGTTGTGTGTCACCGTACATATTTTAAAACTACAATGAGAACACAAATTTTTCTTACACTCTGGACCCAAGTTTAAATCATGTTAATATCATATTTTAAAACTACAATGAAAATACAAGTTTCCCAAAACATGTCTTATTGAACAAGTAAACTTCCGATGAATAAACTTTTTGGTTTCAACGAGAACGCTGTCTGAATAATCATACGCTGAAGGCTGAACTTTGGTTGTTGGAGACCGGAAACTTCAAAAAGTGCGGGCTCATATTTATTTGCAACTGACACGTGGCATATGATTAAATAAAACCCACTCAACCACCTCGTTTTTAAATTACACGAAACGGACAAGAGTTTTTGGATTAAACAAATATTTACTTAATAATTTTACAATTTTAATTTTAAAATCCTCAAGAAGATAAAAATAATTGTTATGTTTTTTTTTATATTATTTAATTACAGATATCAATTAAAAATTATATATCATCTTTGATCATATAAACTTGAGACCACATGAGACCAACCTGTTTTTATGAGACCCGTAAGACCACTTTCTTATACTAAAAACTTTACAGCAAAATGTTGTGAAAGTTTGACTCTTTTTTTTTTACCTTCACATGGTTTTGCTGTGAAGTTTCAAGTGTATAAAAGTGGTCTTACGTGTCTTACGAAAACAAACTCGTCTCACGTAAACCCAACCCCGACCATATATCTTCAACATGCTCTTTAATTTTTTTTTTAAAAATACATTGAATTATAATTGTTTTTCAATTTTCAATATTACTACATCATTAAATTATTAAAATATTTAATGAATTTTAATAAAATATTGTTTTTCATTCTAAAAACAATTGATTTCGAAGATTTTAATACATCGAGTAAATTTTCAACGATGGTCGTGTTTATTAAAGGATTTATAGTCATTATGCATATAAAACCGTTCGATATATCTCTAATCATTTAAGTAATTTCATTTCTTAAACTGCATATATCTGCAGATGACCAAATTCATATTCTTGTAACTTTGTTGCTACCATTAATTATCAGGGTGATAATAAAAACCTCGTTGCGTAGTATATACCCATTAAAATATTTTCAGTGTTATGAAAACATTTTACGTAGATGCATCGATTATGTCGCAAATGTCATGTTCTAGAATTTTGTAGTTGTAAATGCCAAAACCGTTTTTTGTATGTAATAAATATCCAAGCATTTTATATGTTCTTTTGGAAAGACAGATAAAATCTGTTGGAAAACTGTATTCAAAACAGAAAAATAAATGTGTTAAAAACCGCTAATAACATGTTGTAATTTTATATTTCTCTCAATTGATCATTACCAAATCGATCCTCATGTTGCTCAGTTGGTTTATTTTAATAGGATTTAAATGTGTTAAATACCGCTAATAACATGTTGTTGTTTAAATGAATGCTAATTATATAATTAAATATAAATTTCATACTGATGATAAATAAATATGTGAAATTGTATAAATTTAACATTATAATTTTCTGATCGGTAAAATAAATAATTTAAACAAATTCAGACAGCAATCAGTCTACAAAACAAACAAACACTCTTATTGATTCAGATTTCAACATCACATCTTATTAATTAGAAATGAAATAAGACTTCAGACTTTATCATCTTTTAAAAAACAATCGTTACTTAGAAAATACTTTCACTAAAGACCTAATCCTATGCCCAAAACCATCCATATACACTTTATCGGTGCAACGATACACCCTACACCTCTTAACAGTGATCTCATAATTGGTCTTAGTCTTGATCCAGTTAAGGTGTACGAGGCTGATTATGAGAACCGGTCTCGATTTCGGGCTGGCCCAAATCAGCCCCACTTAATTTTTTTTTTCTAAAATTGATTTTTAATATAATATTTTTTTGAAGAATTTGGTCAATCAAATATACTAACAAATACGTTTTTATAATAACTGCGTCAATCAAATACATTAAAATATATTTTGATCTTCAACCAAATACACTTAAAAAGTATATTTAAAAATACATTAAAAAAATATCAGCCCGGTCCCGGATCGATCCCATACCTCGTCCCGGACCGAGCCTTGTTTTCGATGGAATAATATCGTAACCGGTTATGGACCGTCGGACCGGTTCCAGCCTTCCACCCTTCAACTCATATCAAAAAAACACAATGGCCAAACAATGATTATTAAGATCTAGGATGAACAGTAAAGCCCAAACCAGGCCCATATAATTTTAAATATGTTATGTAACATTTTTATGGTTCCATCACATTTTAATAAGCAACTTTACACGACCACATTAAACATATGATACTACCAGGGGCGGATTCACATTAACAAAACTACCAGGGGGCGGATTCACATTAGCAAAACTACAGGGGGGCGGATTCACATTATTAATATTGTCAATTGTCATGCTAGATTAAACTCAAAGTCCAAAAATCTTACATAAATAATAAATTATATATATATATATATATATATATATGTGTGTGTGTGTGTGTTATGTAAAATTAAAAAATATACAAAATATGCGGTGTAGTGCGGTTTGAACTACTGTTTGATAACTCAAAACCGCAAATTGTACCGCATAGTGCGGTTTGGTCAAAATGCAAACCACAAACCGCACCACGAAAGTTCTAAACCGCGTTTTGCGGTGCGGTGTGAGCGGGTTGGATGAACACCCCTAATTTTTACGGTTCCCCACAGTGATCCAATCCATTATGACGAAACCGTCCACTCCCTCGTTTAACTGTCGTTATCCTCACATCTTGTTACCGCTAGTTCTTACAACCATGCTACAATGATAACGTTAGGCCATGGTTTTGCTGAATATATCTCAATTTCTTGTTTTTTAGTTTAAACATAAATCAATTCACCTAACATTAAATTTTTATATGCTCAAATCAATTCATCTGAAAGGAAATTATATACATTAACTAATAGTATAATTTGTTACTCTGTTAACCTATGCGGTAAACAAAATAATCGAAACCAAAACTTACCTTATTTGATTAACCGAACACTTTAACCCGTAAACCGAATAACCCGAAACCGTTTTTGGATGAGTCATTCGATTTAGGATTTTTTATATCTCTAAGGAACCCCAGTCACCTAAATTTCTAGATACCACCACCAGATACTAACAAAATTGGTGGTGCAACTAACATTTGGATTTTGGAGTACACCACGTTATAAGATGGTACGACTTATTGGTTTGTCTTTTTCAGTTGAGATGTGATTTGTATTCATATTGTGATACGTTGTATCGACATGTTGAATGGTAAAGCTTAAAAAATATAAATTTACGAGAGTACGGAAATTGAGAACCCGGAAATCAGACTGCAAGAAAGTTTGAGAAAAATATGTGAAAATATATAACATATACACTCACTATTTATACTAAAGCACAATAATTCACTTTTTATAATAAAACCCGACAAACTATCTGGTGGCGCAAAAAAAGCCTTTAAAAAAATCATAAAAGGAAACTAGTCGTTATTTTTTTAAGTTTCGCTCATAAAATTTGGTCTAAAACGGGTTTTTAATTCATTTATTTGACCAGTGCAAAGTGATCATCCAATCTCGGTCTGATTAGGTCATTTTCAAAACTGTTTCTTAATCAGTTTTCAACTCATAAATAAGGTTTGATTGATTCTCAGTTATGTTGGGTTTAGTTCTTGTAACTGCTCCCAAATGGGTGGTCCTCGTTCCCGATTCAATTCGTCCATCTCTAATCATGAGATGCACGTGTTTCTATTAATTGTGTAAATGCTAGATTATAAACGAATCATACTAGATTATGTCTAATCAAATATATAAATATTTTATTAATGGACAAATTGCATGAAAAAGTAACGTACTTTAACTTTATTCTTATTTTGGGTAACGTATTTTCAAAACTTTCATTTTGGTACATAAAATGTAAAGTTTTAAACATTTAAGTACCCGGGTAACCGATTATCATGCTGATGTGGTATCCAATTCAGTATTATTTGCTGACGTGGTTAGTGACATGAATTTTTTCAATCTAAAATTAGTCTTTCTTTTTAATCCAAAATTAGTCTTCAACCCGTTACCCGGGTACTTAAATGTTTAAAACCTTACATATTAGGTATCAAAATGAAAGTTTTAAAAGTACGTTATAAAAAATATGAATCAAGTTAAAATACGTTATTTTTTCATGCAATTTGCCCTTTATTAACCTATCTAGATACTAATCAAATTAATTAAATATAAATGATTAGTCTGAAATAAAAAAACGATGCAAATATAATTTTACAGAGATAAAAACAGTGGTCATACGAACTGTTACTCTTTGGATACTTCAATAAATCTCTAAAACCTTCTTCAAAGTTCAATAGTTTTTATGATCAGTAAAATCATTTAACAAAATAAAAAGCTCTGAACTCTGTCGAACTTAGCAATTCATACGTATAATCAATCTCCAGAGGAATCGGTTTTTAGGGAACCTCAGACATTGGGCGTCTAACGATTTGCCGCCGCCGAGAGACTTAAATAACTATACCATTTCCAGATTAATTTTCAACTCGACAAGTGTTTGTTACTCAACGTTACCATTTAATGACGTTGTTTAATTCTTCAAAGTCATCAAGTAAGAACCGTAAAACAGATACTTAAAATCTTATAAAAAATTCGTATTATATGAATCTGTATTCGTATATATTACTTTCTGTATTTATTTTTATCGTCATAAAACACGTAATAACGAAACTCATATATAAATTTTGGTATAATCTTTTGATTATTGTTAAGAAATCACAAAACATCAAACCCATAGAGAAATATGTTCACAATGAAGAAAACAAAGTCAAACTAACTGAAAAAAAAAAAGTCAACACACAAGAACCACCCACAAGGGCAACGAAGGAAGTTGCTGAAAGGTCATTTTCCAGAGCTAAAACTGAGAAATCCAGAGCAACATACTTGTTCCAATCCATATTGTACAAGTTACTGTAACAACGTTTTACTTTTTTTTTATGAATTGTTGCTCTGGAACAAGAAACTTGGTGGATCACGTTTTGCTGCGTAACCGAACTTTGATGTGTTATATTTCCTGTAAACACCAGTCAATCTCCCTGTCGATGCCTTTTGGTGGTACCCCACAATCATTCTTGAACATTCCCTAAAATAGAAAGTCAAACCAAGTAAATTTCAGAAGTCAACTCATTAAGAATAGACCCATGAATCTATAATCACTTGAAAACTTTCTAAAAATAATTTACTTACAGAAGTTGATCTTCAGAATAGTTAGTATGCCATTCACATGTTTTCGACCAGTGTTTCATCCCATAAAGACTGCATTGAGCCGTGTATACGGCGGCGGCCGCCAAGAACGATGGCGGGAATTTAAGCGTCTCGTATTCCACGAGACAAAGCTCGATTAGGAAAAACGACGTTTGGTCAAGTTTTGATTCCGATTGAGCGGCTTTTAAGAATCTTTTCATGAACACATACGCTGTTGGTAACGACATGTTGAATTCTAATGTGTTCAACATCAGTTTTTCCTGCATTTGTGGATGAATAAGATCAAAATCAGGTTCATTCACATGTGAATATAAATAAGATCAGAATGAATGAAAGGTGTTCACTTTATGGTACGTACCATTTCAAGAATTTGACACCTGGAGTAAGCTTTGTCCGAGATGAAAACCAAATCTTCGATGATGGGAACCGAAACTTCTTCGTATTTACAAGCCAATAGCATGGCAACCAAACCAACTAATTGTAAGTTCTTTCTAATTACAGATTGTTTAGCCAAGAATCTGTCTATGAGGTTAACTGTTAAAAACAGTGTTTCGGGTTGGAGGTCAAACTTGTGGTGCACCTGTCGATATTTGTTAAATTGTCGTATGTTAGTAACGAAAATTGAAAACCCTTTTAGGGTACGATCCGATATCGTCATGTAAATCAAATTCAAACTTTAATCGATGGCGAATTCACAAATTTGGAACTCGATTTTTAACCAAGAAATCACGTTACCTCGATTAGCCAGTCGATTAGTATAGCTCTCATCTTCTCATTAATGTCAAATTGTTGTGTCATGTAGTCTGGTGAGACCAAGCTACAATTCTGCAAAGAAATCGAATTTCGATTCAAGTAAATGTTTCCATTTTAAACATCAAGAAAGTCATCTACATGGGAAAATCCATCAAATTTCGCAAGCACCACTTTAGCAACGTGCGAAATCCACTTTCATGAATACTACAATATTCATAAAGTAGTAATTTCGCAAGTTGTCAAAGCGTTACTTGTGAAATGTTGACGCGTAAATGCCATTTTCGCGATCATTGCTAAAGTTGATAAAGTGCTATGGGAATTCTTTTTTTGATGGGTTACAAAATCAAATTAAAGAAACCAAAACTTTCCATTATTAGCATCAAGAAGAAAGTCAAGTGATGCACATAGGTTTGGCCTTTTGTGTCAAAATTCTCAAAATGGTTGTCATTTAGAATGGTGAAAAAAAAAATACAAGTTCCCAATAGAATCTAGTAGGGCAATTACATAATTAATTCAAAATCAAATAAAAGAAATCAAAACTTTCCATTTTTAGCATTAAGATCATATATATACCTCCATCCTTCTATAATGAGCATAAAGATCTTCGACATACTCGGTCACAGCAAGGTGGTTTCTGTCATCGGAGATATCGATATCAACAACGGGATCCTCCATCTCAACTTCCTCCTATCAAATTTCATAAAAGTCAAACTAATGATATCAAAAGAATCTAAAGTCAAACACCATACGACAAGGATTGGGTTCAAGTGAGACGAGCTTGTTTTCGTGAGATCATAAAAGAAGACTGAACACCTTCACGGTAAAAAATGTACAAGAAACACCAAACCCTAACGGCAAAAAGACCGTGAAACTTTAGAGTGTTTTGTTGTGAAGGTTCAGTGTTATTTTTTGATATCACGTGTCTCGTAAAAATAGACTGTTCTCAAATGATTCCAACTCAGACAAATACCATATGATGATCCCTTTGATCCACAACTGTTTCTGATGTTTCCAAAAACATGGGCACAGGTTCATCTTGATCTTGATCTTCTTCCCATACACCAAAACCCTCATTTGATGCATTGGAACTGGACCTCTTAATCTCCTAGTAAATGATTTCAAATCAAAAGTCAAAACCTTTACCAAATTAGAAAAAAAGTCAACATGGTTGAGAGATTGAGATGAATATGATACCTCTGGAAAACACTGTTTCTTGTTGGCAATATCTGCAGCAAGTTTCCTTTTTTAGAAACAAAATCAAATTGGAATGTTAGTAAATATTATACAAATATATCAAATAACCAAAATAGAATTCCAAATTTGACTTTAAGAGCCAAATCCATTGATTTTTTTTTCACAAAAAAATCCATTAGAAACTTTGAAAATATGAAATTAATAGGTTTGAAATTAAATATCAACTTGAATGCTTAATTTAATATCAATAAAGAAAATTAATAATAAAATAAATAAAACATACTGTGATAAAGCTCTCTTGTTAGCTACACAAGGGTGTGGCTGAGCTCCTCTCCGGCAGCCACCACCACCGCCACCGCCACCTAAGTTCTGATTGATAACACTCAATGCTCTCCGGTTATGACCTATTTCAGCACCAAATTTCCGGCAACCCATAACCTCTTCTTTACCTAAATAACCACAAGAAACATAATCGGCATAAAAATTAAACGAGAATTCAACCCAGTTCAAATAACATGCTCAGATTTCGATTCAAATCTACAGATTTCAAAATTCAAACATGGAAGAAGCTGCCGGAAAATCTGGATCTAGCAAAAACGATGAATATTAACCTTGCTTATTTGTGGGATTCATCAAAGCTGGATTATTCTCAACTGAAATCTCCATTGATAAACAAATTAAGAACCCAACTTTGAAGATCTTTGGTGATGATATATCTCTAATCCGTCAAGAAACCCACAAATCGACGAACCCTAGAATGCAAACTAAGAGCATTTAATTTAGAAAACGGCCATGAAATCTACAGAAACAAACTGGCAAGAAAGATCAAAGAGAAGAAGTGAAGACAAGTGTGTATGAAGGTGGCCATTATATTTGAAATCAACGGCTAGAAAATCTGTCCGTTGGATTTAAGATAATCAACCTCATTACAATATTCGGAAGCGTAATTGGAATCTGTATGAATTCTACTTTTACCAGAAAAAAAGATTCAAATTAAAAGCTTTATTGCATTGTTGATTTGTGTATCATGCAATAGAAGTTGTACCTTTTCTGGAACTTAGTAGTTTTAGATCTGAAAAAAATAGGTAGGCAATTTTTAAGGGTCTTTCTACAGCAACGGTCACCTTTGAGGCTTTGGCCACGTGTCATGTACGCGTTTCTTCCAATATTATTCCAGAAAATTTTCAGTATTAAATGATTGTGTGATTATAAAAATAAAAAAGTACTCCTTTTTTCCTTCCAAAATTACAGCATTTTTTTTAAATTAATAAATTCTTTTAAGTAATTTAAATTATAAATACTTTAAAATGATTTATTTATTTTTTTCTACTAATAAAATT